GTTGTGTAAGATATGTAGGTTGTGTAAGGTAGGTAAGTTGTATAAGATAGGTAAGTTGAGCAAGATAGGTAAGTAGTGTGAGATAGGTAAGTTGTGTAAGATAGATAAGTTGTGTAAGATAGGTAAGTTGTGTAAAACAGGTAAGTTGTGTAAGATAGGTAAGTTGTGTAAGATAGGTAAGTTGTGTAAGATAGGTAAGTTGTGTAAGATAGGTAAATTGTGTAAGATAGGTAAGTTGTGTAAGATAGGTAAGTTGTGTAAGATAGGTAAGTTGTGTAAGATAGGTAAGTTGTGTAAGATAGGTAAGTTGTGTAAAATAGGTAAGTTGTGTAAGATAGGTAAGTTGTGTAAGATAGGTAGGTTGTGTAAGATAGGTGGTGAACATTGGAGATGTTTTCTATACCGTTATGGACAAATGGGGGGGGGAAGAAATAGAAAGTGGTTTGAAAACTCTTGCAACGGTGCTCATATGCATGTACAAGACACTTTACCTGATGCTGAAAAAAAAGTAAAACGAAAAGAAGCATATGTTACAGTGCAGAAGAAGAAAAATATTCAATCAGATATAAACGTACGTATTGTCCCTGCATGTGACATAAACGTACGTATTGTCCCTGCATGTGACATAAACGTACGTATCGTCCCTGCATGTGACATAAACGTGCGTATCGTCCCTGCATGTGACATAAACGTACGTATCGTATGTGACATAAACGTACGTATTGTCCCTGCATGTGACATAAACGTACGTATCGTCCCTGCATGTGACATAAACGTGCGTATCGTCCCTGCATGTGACACAAACGTACGTATCGTATGTGACATAAACGTACGTATTGTCCCGACATGTTACATAAACGTACGTATAGTCCCTGCATGAGGCATAAACGTACGTATTGTCCCTGGGTATGCCGGTTACTGTATCAAAGAATTGTATCATGGTAGGCGAGGGCGACAGCGCTTCACGCAGATTGGTTGCCAGGCTGTCTAGTGTAAGGGAGTCGCCGGTATCGGGGGCCTCGTGTGAACTGAAACGAAGGCGATACACAGTACACAGTGTAAGAGGGGTGGACAGGGGTGTTGAATGCACGACAATGCGCATGAAGATGAGAGGTGGACGGTGTATGTGACTCGTTTCGCAGGCACAGCAGTTACAAGATAGCCTGAGCGGATGCACATACAGCTCCAGCTGTGTAAAGCACTCCGATCCACACGGGTGTGTGACCCTTGCATGTGTATGTACAGGATAGATAGATTTGATCGGTATGTGGTCCCATGCTCTGAACACAGCCCACTCACACATGAAGGTGTATGTGCGCGCATCTTATTTAGTACCTTCGAATGTGAGCCTTCCTTTCATGCTTTCATACTTATCCGGCCACGCACAGCCAGCCCATCGACCCACTCTCTTATTCTGAGAGACAGACTTGGAGCCACATCAATCGCCCCATATTCGACACCCTCAAAAACATACATACCCTTTCAAACACATACATACCCTTTCAAACACATACATACCCTTTCAAACACATACATACTCTTTCAAACACATACATACCCTTTCAAACACATACATACCCTTTCAAACGCATACGTACCCTTTCTTCGGTGTCGTTTCTCTCCCAACCTCGTCCGGTGCTTGGTTCGTTTGTATGTGCGTAGGGTTATATGTATCGTCCTTATCTGTTGAAATGGCGATCGTTGATTCGACGATTTGTTTGCCTTTCTCGACAGACCCATTGGCGCTGTTGGATTTCTTGAGCGTAGCTGCGAACACAATAGGCGTAGTGCATCAACAGAGAGCACATAACGTCACGAACGATCGACAGTATATTAAAGTATACAACCGCACCGCCCATGCATATACCTAAAACCCTAAACCCTAAAACCCAAAAGCCACATATCCGCCAGCGGATTAATCATAAAACATAAAGAGATACAGTACGGCATATACCAACACGCATCCGCACACCCAGCCGTACCTTGCTGACTGCTACCCCCACGACCACTCAGCCTGGTACGCACCCACCTCCTGCGACGCACACAGTGACTGGGCTTGCACGTGGTGTGCCACACCTTACTGCCCCAAGTCACGGCGTATTCCCACCCATCAGCATCGTACAGAGCCTCTTCTTTGTCGATCACCCAGTCCTCTGCCCAGTACCTGAGGTGCAGGTGCGTGTGTAGTTGGGGATTTGAACCGAATATACGCACAGTATGATTTCTATCGCCTTATCAGACGAGTGAGGGGAGATGAATTGATTGCCCTGTTTTTCTGTGTTGCAGAGATGGGATATGCTTGTAGCTGAAAAAGCGTTCCTGCTGGAATTGAGATCTCTCCCAAGTGGAGAGTTGCAGCATAACATGTGCTCAAGTATACAGGACAGGCTTTGTTAAACACAAAAAAAAACAAAAAAAAAGTGAGAGACATAAATCGTTTACTATCTATCAATCATGTGAAGCTCATAAACACATACGTACATAAAACGATTACTACCTGATTTTTGTCCTAACTGATTCTGTGTCAATACAAGTTGTAATTTTAAAACACACCCAATTTTTGAAACAATAGCAGTATAATGCTATACTGATTTTTATATGCGTCTAAATTTACATATAGAAGAAAGACAGACAATCTGCCTGTACCCTAATCACAACACTTTGTGAATCTCCAAAGCTCGCTGTGTAGCGAGTGTGCAACACAACATAGACACACAGAGAAAGGTATACCATATCCGAATATGGTAATGTCCACAAATGCTATCAGCCTGCTCTTGGATATGGGCCCTTTCTGATCTACTAACCGCTCATGTAGACGTATATATCGGTAGGTACGTACTCACCATCCCTGAGGGGCAGGACAATCGTTATCCAGACTCAGCCCATTAGCTAGCGCGTTGCCATTGACGTCACTGTAATGGGGACTGTCTGTAGCTAGCAATTCACCCTGCTTGAAGCCTTCGAATAGACCCCTGAGTATTTAGATACACGAGTGTGATCAGTGTATGCACTCCTATTTTTCTCCAGCCATGAAACCAAAAATAAAA